ATTTATATAATAATATTCTCGAGGCTCTTCGGTGTTGCCATGGGGACCAGGCAGGGAGCCGTCACCTTCTTCCGGTTGCATACGTAGTTATCTTACGTCACGCGCAGTACGCGCATGCGTGGCCGCTGACCCCGCCCCCCTCCCCTCAGTTCCGCAGCCGCGCGGCAGAATGGCGGCTCTTTTGGAAAGTGTCCTGGCGAGGAAAGTGGACATTAGTACGGTCACAGCCTGGCTCGGAAACCTGGAGGTGAGTGTGCAGCAGCTCGGAGCCACACGAGCGACACTTGTAAAACCCGCTTGACTCTTCCATCCTGTTATTTACGTGATGACATCGCTCACAAGTCAGTGTAAACAAAACTTTTAGCCGCGGAGCTAACGGGCTAACGCAGCCTGGATGGTGGCAGCGCTCTGTGCACTCGGATGCTTCCCCCCAGTCAGGAGACATTTCAGCGTCATATCGGATGATATTTAACCTTCATGCTTGTTGCTCGCCGCTGTTATTGTTATTTAAACAGGGCTGTGCAGGTTAGCCGATGTTAGCCAGCGCGTTGTTAGCAAGGTTAACTAGCTTGTTTCTGCAGAAATGTCCTGAAGCTGTGCAGCTACTTTATTGACCGATTGTCTTCAATTGATATTTGATTTATCAGATCATCTGTGATGTCCCAGCTATTTGCTCTCTGTCTATAATTAATATTGCATCAGTGTAGATCATCAGTGATATTCCAGCTTTCAACTTATCTCAAACATCACGTCATCATGTGTCTCTTTTGAACAGGAGAATGACAGACTGTCATTCAGTAAAGCCGGGCTGACGGTTCACAAGCAAGAATTTGTCCCTTTCCTTTTAAACTTCCTGAGAGAGCAGAGCAGCCAAGCACTAACCCATGGCCCCACCACGCCGGCCAAGACCCCCAGCCGTCCCAGGCCTGCTGCACAGACACAAGGCTTCAGCGACAGGAGGGGTTGCAGGTCTGCTGGAGATGGAGCTGGGTCACGGAGTGCCAGCCGGGTCCAGCTGTTTTCTTCGGCCACCACTTCTGTGTCACCTGGGACTGAGTGGGATGCCTCTGCTCAGTCGGAGTCCCAATGTCTTAGCGGGGTCAGCGCCCTCAGCAGCCCCTCCTTTACCACAGCATGGAGCCCTGCCTCCAGACCCTCTGGCTCCGAGCGCCGGCCCAGCCAGAGGATCAGTCTTGGGGACTATATGGTTTCCCCTCCGGACCTCCACCACAGCCCTAACCAGCAAATGCACAAAGGCCGCAGGAGGAGTGGTGGTGGTGGAATAGCTGGACAAGGAAGACAGGGAGGAGGGGGGCGTGGAGGACATCACAGTGAGGAAAATGTACGGTGGGACAGTGGGGGGAGGCGGTCAGGTCGAGGAGGAGGAGGGTATAGTAGGGTAAATGAGCAGGTTTCACCTCCGTCTGTGGCGCAGCTCAACTTTAACAACTTGGAGGATTTCCCTCCTGTTGGGTCATCACCGGTTTCACCAGCGTGAGTCAACAACTCTCAGTTGAAAAAAAATTACACTGACTCCACCTTCTTACTGTCAGATTTGTCTAACCAGTTGCATTCATCCTCAGGGCATCCAAACCATCGAGGAGAATAAACCCAACACCTGTCAGTGCAGAGCGGCCACACTCCAAACCAAAGACCTGTTTCACCTCCACACCATTCAGGAAGCCTGCTACTCCCCCACCAGGGATAGAAGCACTTCAGGGGTTGATGACAGTGGGCAGTCCGCTGAGCCTGCAGGAAGAGAGGGAACTTCTGAAGAGGGAGAAGTATGTGTACATGCAGAATGACTCTTAATTATACTGACAAACAAGTTGACCTTGTGTAAAGTAGTGGAAGAAAAGGGGGGTTTGTTTATACTTACTGTACTTTATAGTGCTTTGCTCTACAGGGAGTAATAAAATGTAACCAGACTTTCTTAAGGCATATTCTGTTTCCTCATTATTCTACATATATTGTCCAATATATAATTTAGTCTGCAGCATCACTTTGCTGTTTTTAACGATGAGGACTTAATTGTTGTTTAGGTCAAAGCGAGCCCAGCAGGGTGGCTCTCCTCTGCCCTCCTCTCTGGACCCTTGCACCCCGACCAAGTCAGGGCTTAGGATCGGATCTAAAGTTACACCTGATCAGCAGACGACTAGTCCTGAACCATCCAAAGTCACCTTGTCCTCTGAGCTGGATCTCTTGGCAGAGCTGTATTGTACCTGCATTTCTGGTAAATGGCCATGAGGTGTCATGATTGTGCTAGTTAAAAGTAAATGGGGCAAAAAAAAAAAAAAACTCGTTTACAGACAGTGCAAAAAATAGTAGAATAAGAAAAATATTAATAAGTCAGACCTGAGTAATAGCAAGAAAATAATTTCCCCATGTATTTAAAGTATAATTTTATATAAATAATTACCAACACAATCATTTAAAGTGATTTTAAATCTTGTTAATGTCTTTAAGATCTCTTAAGATGAGGATAAGTGATGTGTTTGTGTTGTCATGTCTTACAGAAAACCTGGTACCAAACATCTTCCTGGAGCTTTTCTTTGTGATGCAGTTGTTGACGTCTCGGTCCCCTCACTCTCCCAACAGTGAAGAACAGGAAAGCTTGTTTTCTGTCAGTTCAGGTGCGCAATTAGCTTCAATTTCACTTGAATCATATTGTGGGTTTTCAACTTCTGTTTACATTGAAATTGAGCCACATGTTTCATGTTTTCAGATGTTCTGGAGAGATGTTACCTACGACAAGTACACAACTGTGTGTATTTTGCAGTAAAGGTTCTGGAGAAGCAGTTTCAGTGAGTTTGTTTCTTGCTTTCCTCATATTCATTAACAGGAATATATCAGATCACTGTTTTCCCTAATTAATGAAGTGACACTGCTCCTCCAGTTGATCTCCGAGTTTATATACAAGCATCTCCTTTTGTCTTCTGAAGGTTGGTGGCTCATTTGGACAAATGTACACTGCGTCTGCTGGCAGAGAACGAGAGGATGGCGTCTTTCTCTCCAGATCTCAGGGACCGTCTCACTCAAGCCCAGGACAGAAGCACAGCCAAGGTACGTTCTTGTATTTTATTCTGTATTTATGTGTTATTAGAATATGTTCATAATCTGTCTCTAAATATTTTAGACAACTTAGTAAAACTGTTCTCTACTATTTGTTGGGTTTGAATATTTTTTGTTCCGTTCCAGCTCTCTCCCTCCGTTTCTACTTTCATCCACTCAGTCCCGTTCCGTCCTGCTACAGACAACAGGTCCAACTTCAGTAGTGACAAGGCCTTCCACACTTTTAAAAAACAGAGGTATATAACTGAGCAATGTTTTAGCATTTAAAGTAATTGCTGTTGCTGAATTTGACTTCACACATTTGTATTTTATATTTTTTCCCATTTCTCAGAGATATTTTTTATGAAATCCTGCGAGAGTGGGAGGACCTTCACACGGAACCAGGATGGAACTTTTGTTCTGTTTTAGGAAGCAGAATAAGGCAAGTTTCATGAATTATTCTCTAATTTAATTTACTAAAAATAATTGTAATGTAATACATTTATCTTTTCTACATTTGCTCCATTAATTTGTATTATTCTGTCTTATTTTTTTTAGGGGAATGATGAATCAATTGACCTCTGCTGGAAACCATTCTCATTTTGTGCGTCTGTTCCTGAAGCAGCTTGTTCAGGTAGACTGCTGCACCACATGGACGTTTAATTTCGAATACATATAATTTCTCCCCAACGCACTGTACTATATAAATAAAATCTTTTTTGTAGATGTGTAAAGGCCCCCGTGTGAACAGCTCTCCCGGAGATACCGCTGACAATGACCTGCTAGGCATGCTGGGAGCTGACAGCTTGGGGCGTCTGAAGCGTCTTGAAGAGCGTCTCATTCAGCCTCACGGAGTCGTGGGTCCTTGTCCTCCTCCATCCTTCCCTGGCCACCAGGAGTTCTTCAGAGACTTTCTTCAGGCAGCGAGCTGGTGAGACGATACGTCCAAGCAATTAGCATATTGCTGAACTGTACCATTAGAATGTTAAATGGACACAAGACCGACTTAATTCACCAGAATTTTTTTGTGTGTGTGATCTAACACGTCTTCCTTGTTGTGCACCAGCTGCCAGCTGAACCAGCACCTGCAGGACAGCCTGTGTCAGCAGCTCCTCCAGCTTGACGAGGTGTCCATCCTGAGCCCCCCTGCTCCCACTGCAGAGGGGGAGGAGGAGGGAGATGGAGACATGGAGCAGCAGGTAAACTTTCAGAGTCAGACCAACAGACATTATTGAAGCTAGCAGCCTGTTATGTTTTTTTTTTTTTTTACTTTT